TTTTGTTTTGTTATCCTCATACGTTCTAAGTAATTTTCTTTCTTTCTCTTTGTACTATGAAATAATCAAGTAGTGATTTTGATTTATTTAGAATTTCTTTTTATTCCAAAAATCTGTGATGAAATTTTCACCGGTCTTTGATTTACTATACAAATTGGTTACTTGTATTGTTAAAATTTATTGTGAAACTTATAGACTCGAGGAGGCTAAGATTTCTGTAACTAGTGAGTATCACATTTCACTTTGAAAAGAGCCATGACGATCGTCTGAGGGGGAGTGCAAATAGATAGGAAAATAAGTTTTTATGGGTGTAAAATTAATATTTCTAGTGTGACAGACTAGATTCCGATTCTTTTATCAATTTAGTCTAGAATTTGGAACTAAGGGTCACTGATAGGTCCTATAGAGAGGGCAGAGTGGGTAATCTTGAGGTGAGAGTCTAGAACCTACCCAATACTACTATGCATAACGACACCAACTTTAGATGTCAATGTTCTTTATGCTTGGAAGAGGTAAAGAATATGTTTGTTCCTATTTGTCATAACACATCAGTTAAACTTCTAAACAATTAAAATTCTACACTGATTATGAATTATTTGCTAGGAGAAAGTCTCTTTATATACATATATCTTAAATTTTCTATTTAGTGCATTTACTTTTACTTGCATTTGTAAGAAATAATAAACTTTATTTCTTCGCTTAAACCATTTTTCTATAGTCATAAGTAAACTTCTTTTAAAGTTAAATTCCTGAATTTCATTTCTTTTCCTTACATTCCATGTGACATCAATACTGGGATTTTTAAGGAAAAATCTATATTACTTCAAGATAAGTATACTTGTGTAGTACCGCTAGTGAGAAAACTATTAATTTAAATTTTATAATATTACGTTTGTTCTCACTAGCCGCTAAATATAAATTGGGTCAAATTTTTTGACATATTAAGAAACATAAATATTTGCGTAATTGTGAGTTAGGTCAGTTATCTCTCTCACTCTCTCTCCCCTCACCCCCTCATATATATAT